TATTTCTGTCACCAAGGCCAAATTTTCCTACTATTGGTGATTCTTCTTTGTTTCCAACTTTAGCATTCCAATCACCAGTGATAAGCAACACATCTTGATTGCATGTTCAGTCAATTTCAGACTGCAGAAGTTGATAAAAATCTTCAATTTCCTCATCTTTGGCTTTGGTAGTTGGTGCGTAAATTTGAGTAATAGTAGTATTAACTGGTCTTTCTTGTAGGTGTATGGATATTATCCTATCACTGACAGCACTCTACTTCAAGACAGATCTTGAAATATCCTTTGTGATGATGAATGCCATGCCATTCCTCTTCAATTTGTCATTCCCAGCATAGTGGATCATATGGTTGTCTGATTCAAAATGCTCAAAACCCATCCATTTCTGCTTACTAATGCCACTTCTCAGAAGTAAGGTTGGGCAATCTACTTCCGTAGTGATACTGCCTCAGCAACCCAAGGAGGGGTCGCTATGAGTCAGGTCCGACTCTACGGCACATAACAACAACAATAACAATGCCTTGGATATCTAGGCAATCATTATGCATTCCATTTCATTTTTGACAACTTCCAATTATCCTAGTTTCATACTTCGTACATTCCATGTTCTCCATAAAGATTACAGCCTTGGAAACCCCATGGGTTGCTATGAGTCAAAATCAACTTGACGACATAGGGTATAACTCTCATTCATTCATATATTCTTTGTTATTCTCCTAATATGACTTACCACCGTCAAAGGATTAGATCTTGCTTTCTTACCTTCTGTTGTTGGAAATACTTCTTCTCCTTCAGTTTTTGTCTCTGCCAGTTTTCCAGTTCTCAGCAATACTTCTGCAAAGCTTTCTATTGGGATGTGCTGATAAGTATTATAGGTTCCTTCAGACTAGACAAAAGAGGAAGTTACACCATTTAGCAGGGTGTTGAATATATATTAGAACTTTTTTCTTCTGTGAATATATATTAGAAAACACCATTTTCTATTTTCTGGTGACTTAAATAATAACTTCTCACTATTGAAGCGTATCACTTTACATAAAATTTTAAATATATTTAATCTCATGAAATGTCATAATGAATGTGAATCTGTGACATAAACCCAGTGAATAACATGAGTAAGACCCAAGCAAAAAAATACATTTTCAGTAAAAAATGTGTTTTTATAAAACTAAAATTCTTCACAATAGCATAACAGTTAACTCTCATGTTCTTAGTCACACTGTCCTTACCTCAGTGACAAAAGGATTGGAGAGAACAGACTCATAAAATGGATGACACCCTTGTTTTTCTAGATTTTCATTGGCTATATTTCCAATATGATGAGTACCACCAAATTCTTGCCCCTAAATAAAATGAAGAACAATGAGTAAGAAAAATTGAAAAAGAAAGAGAGGCTAATTTAAGGAGATACTGATCAATGTGCTTTTTATGATTTAAAAAGAGAGGGTCAGAGTGACATAGACAGCCAGCAGAGACTGTAAAAATAATAATTACATTCAGAGAACAGCACTTCATCCCCATCCTGTAGGGACTTCGGTTCTCCTGGTCACTTTGACATTAATGAATTAGGAACAATGAATCCATCGGTATTATATGCATGGCCAATTCTCTACAAAATAATCAGAATAATCATTCTAAACCATCATTCAATGTTGCTCCCAGTCACAAAATCTTTAGGAGCTTTAAATAATGCAAACAGCTAACAGCATAAAATCTAAATTACGTAGTGTAACCTTTAAGGTGCTCTATAATCTGACCCCAAATATGCTTTAAAATGTTACCTTCTATTATTCTTGTTCAAAAACTCTCCAATCCAACCAAACTGATTATGTATCCTCTGGCCTCAGTGCTTTTCTCCCATTGTGAAGGTCCTATCCATGATGACTCCCTGGCTAAAGCCTATCTGTCCTTACAGGCCCAGCTCACACCTCACCTGCTGAGACCTTACCATACTGAGGCGAGACCAAGATAACATGACTGAGTCCCTTTCATTATTCCTACCTCTTCCACCAACTATCACCCACAACAATGTTGAATTTTACCTGAGCCCTGTAACCCTAGAAAACAACAAAGATTAAGATATCTCCCTGCCCTTTTTATTCTGGAAAATGGCTTACTGTACAGAATCATCCTTTCCCATATCCCTTGGACTAAGGGTAAATAAACTCAAAAAAGAAAAAAATTAATTTTCCCTGTTGCAAAAAAAAAGGGAAATATATCACACTCCTTTTTCTCAGAGCATTTACATCAGAAATTTTATAATTTTTGGTAGCATAGTGGCTAAAGCACTTGACTGCTAACCAGAAGGCTGGCGGTTCAAACCCACTGGCCACTCCTCGGAAGGAAGGTTGGGCAATCCTACTTCCGTAGTGATACTGCCTCGGAAACCCAAGGAGGGGTCGCTATGAGTCGGGGCCG